CACGGGGCGGTAAACTGACATGCAAAATATTGCCGGTAAAGAAATCGAAAAAAACAAAAAACAAACGTATATATGTGGACCGCGAGAAGAACGAAGAGAAATACAACCATTTGCTTAATCCCCGGATGGGATCAGATCACGTGACTAAAGTTCTGATGGCCGGAAATGTGACTGTCACAGAGCTACTGAAGGCGACAAACAGTAAAAAAGAAGGTGAAGTATTTTTTTTTTAAAGAAAAAAGTTAGGCTGTAAAAATCGTTGAATAGGACACCACTCATAGCACAATTGTGCTCTATATGAATGAAAATGGATTCAGTGTAGATAAACCTCTGTGGAATTAAACTGGTATATGGAGTGCTTTTGCATGTTTTGTTTCTCGGGGTACTACACATACCAATGGGTTAATTCGATGAGATACTATGAAACTATAAAACAAGGCTCAATGCATATCATCAAAAAGTAACAATAATCTTTTAATCCGCTAATCCCATGCAGATTTTAATTGATTCTTTTTTAGAAAAAATCATCGCTTCGGCGAAGAAACTAGCCGAGTCTGAAAGTTCAACAGGTAACTATTGTTTTGCTATTCAAGTCTGCAGTTCTTTGAACAATTGTGTTATATTTAGTTTTGATAAGTGTTACATGTTGAATATATGCACTACATTAGATTCAACGTTGATAATGCACATGCGTTTTGAATTACAGGTACGTACTATTAATTTAAGCGCACGCGCCATAGCGTTGTGAAAACACAACGTCTCTGCTTCATCGACCAATCATAACATAGTGTGCGTATACAAGCAATACGGTACGATATATACGTGATACTACAAACGTCATCTCTATTGTCTTGGTTTTCGTGAAACTCAGTATCCCAGTTAAAATTCAGCAACACTAAAGTGACGCATTTTTTTTGACCAATATATTGCAGATTTTGACACCGACGAAAGCGATGAGTCAGAAATTGAGACCAGCGATGACTCTGACGAAGACAGTGTCGAAGGAGACGACATGGATTAATTAATTTTAGTCACTGCATACTGGACCATAATTTAGACAAGGGGAACGTTCATTGCTGTCGTAGAGGGCACTATAGCACTCCTTGGTACTCGTGTCAGGAAACACCAAGACGTTTGTACGCTTTTCATTTGATCTCCATTCATTGCAATTGTTGTACTAGGTCCGTTTACATGTATATTCCACCAAATACCAAAGGATAGTATATAGACACACGGGGAGACAACATACAACCGTAGCGAGACCCCTGAATATTGTGGAAAAATTTATTTCAAAAACATATTTTTATATCCAAGAAATTAGGATACCATAACATGGGTAAAATATGAATTCAAGTTTTGTAAAACGTGCATGTGATTTATTTTGATTAAATTTGACTTATTTTAATTGCTGAAAACTGTGGTCAGTGGTCACCGAGTTATAAGATGTCAGCGTGTAAACACCAAGTCGGTCAATTAACCAGTACTCTATAAGGTTTATTATTAGTATTCTTATACTATATTGACCTACACGCTTTGTGAAATAAACTCAGCTTCGTAATATGGCACTGATCGGTTCTA